TGGGGGATTGGCAGGGGTGCCAGCTGCAGGGCAGGGGGTTGGAGGCATGGGCTGCAGGGACAGGCGTAAGTCTCGGGTGAGAAGGGGCAGGGCACAGGTACTGGTGGTGTATGGAGTAGTTTGCTAGGCTGGGCACAGGTACTGGGGGAGGCAGTTAGCCAGGCCTCCACAGGTACCAGCTGGCCCTGTGTGTGTGTAGTGCTGATGGGGGCACAAGCAATGGGGCCAGGCATAGGTACCATAGGTGTGTGAGGTGGGGGGGGGCAGAGGGGCGAGCACAGCTACTAGCTGTGGGGGGGAAGGGGCAGGCAGCGGGGCTGGGCATAGCTACTGGCTGTGGGATTTGGGGGATCAGCTGGGGGAGTGGCCACTCAGATATCTTTCACAAGGGGTGGTGGAGGGGTTGGACATGGCTTTGTGGACACAAGGGCTTGGGTACTGGCTGATGGGCAGCGAGGTCAGGGTAGCAAGGCACCTTCTTGGTTCCTCTGCCTTGGTGGATCTCCCTTGGGGAGAGCATACAAGTGCTGGCTGAAGGGCTGGTCAGAAGGGCCCTATTCTCTTGGGACGGTATGGGTACTGAGCACCCCTCCCTCCACCAAGTGTGAGTGGGGAACGAGGGACTTGTGCAGTGCTGATATATAGGATAGGGGGTGGGATTGTGTGTGTACGTATGTACACTGAAGGGTGGCTTAGTGTTTGTATGGAAGTGGAGGTGATCATGTAGTACCTGTGTTAGTGTAACAGAAAACCACTGAGCACTACTTGCTTGAGGAGGTGTGATTCCTCACTCATGGCTGTAAATTGGTGACAATATCTATAATGGAGTTGTATTTAACATGATAACCTCTTGTCTCGATTAACAAGTTGTAGTTATAGTAATTTTTAATATTTGTATTTGGTGTCAGGTTATGCAGGCTCAGAATAAATGTTCGCTCCCCACCACCCTTTCAGCTGTTTACATTTGTTTTATAGTTGGAGTGGAAACAAACTTGCTTTTGGCAGAATAAAAATGTAGTAACATCAATAATTGCTGCCTAGATTAAAATTAGGTTTTATGTATTGCACTGTTATAGGTTAGAAGATAAAGCTGCTCCTCTAGGCAAAGAATTCTCTGGCCCTTATGTAAATGTATATATGTTTGTATATGAATTTTGCAAAGATAAATTTCTTTGGTGTTCATGTAAACACTAGCTCTTAGCACATGATTTTGTATTATGTCATAAAATATAGATCCTGAAATATTTTAAGAGCTAAATAATTACTCCTTCAGCAGTTGAGGCATATGTAGTGGAACCAAGTTGTGTTAATATAGCTACACGTCTTCAACAATATCAATATTAGTCTTTTTGCAATTCATTCCAAAATGTTGTTGTTTTTTGATAACAAATGCCTTTGTGGTTGGTGAACTAATTCTCATGTATGTATAGCTTATAGCATTTCAAGATCCGTTGGGATAGAAGATGTGATGTAAGTGTAAGATTGTTGTTATGACAAACTCACATTGGCTGTATCTTTTTTCCAAACTGTGAGGTTTTTTTTTAAGTGCAGTGAAATTCGTTCTCTGCAATCACCCAAGTGACCAGCAAAACTAAGTTGCCTAGGAGAGGACATCTTTAAAGGTCAAATAAAATTGTACTGGAAACCTTGCACACTCTAAAAAGGTAACTTTAAGATTAGGGGGAACTTTGCTGGAGATGGCCTTGTAGTTTAGTATCACATATCTTTTTCTAAACCTTGGCTGAGTTCTAAAAATAAAACCCTCTTTTTATGTACATCATATCATATCTTTCCTAACTGTGCCAATAAATAGCTATTTGAAAAATAGAATGCTTTATAGTAGTAACAGTACTTTATGTCGTGTGATGGAGAGGAGCCTGAACTGTTCGTGGGAAATCAGAACAGATAGATACTGTTTTGTTTTGGTTTTTTAAATGTGCATGCTGAGTTGTAGGCCTCAGGATGAGTTTAGCCAGCTGGTCAAATCTATTTTCTGGTCCACTGTGCTTACATTAAAATTAGCTCGTGTGAGCTGTTGATGCAGGCTTCGCTGTACATTGCCCTGAATTTTTGTGTTTTGCAGCTTTAAAATGTGATTAATCTTATAAAAATAGCTTTGAGCACCAAGTCTTTGAGAGTATTTGGTAAGGGAAATGTTTTAATTATACTTTGTGTATGTGTGCTGTGAATTGGAGTCTCAATGTTCAGAGCACAAAATTCCAAAAGTCTCCTTAATGAAGCATGGGATTTAAGTGGGGATTATATTAAAAGTTTAAATGATTATTGAAGCTTTTCAGGCATGAGTGCATGATCAAGCCAACGAGGACTTTTTGTTTATCCCTGTATAACTATCCCATTTTTGAATGGGAATGTAACTTAAAGATTTGCTTATGGGGAGGACATGTGCTTGGGGTGAAGTGTAGGCAGATAACAGCAGTTTACAGTACCTTAAATCTAATTTTAAAAAAAGTCTATTTTAAATTACTATTATATGTTGCTCTAATGACTTTTTAAAAATAGGATTGCTGCTACTTTATATCAGATTCCTTAGGAAGCATTCATCCATATTTTGTTTAAATTGTTTATTTTTTCTGTTCTCTGTGTTGTGAAATACAAACTTCTACTCAACTACAGTTTTCACTAGAATATTCAAGTGCATTCTGTGTATGAGACATAAACATAACATATCTGGCTATAATTATTTTGTTAATATTTGGCTCAGTGATGACTGGATGAGCCATTTGGTGGTAAACTTCTACAAAATTTGAGTTGGAATAACCGGACTGTATTCTGTAGGCCTCAATTGCAGAAAACCAGCAGTTTGTGTCTAGCCCAACCTGTAACTCCCCATATCTTAAATATTTAATATAATATAGCTCACTTACTACGTTTCAAAAACTATATTAATTCCAATATTCTACTTTTCTTCTCTTTGAATGCAAGTTTTGTGCAAAGTATTATGATTTGGATGGGAAGGGAGAAGTATTATGAATAGTGCTTTCATTTTTTCTACATTAAGTTTTAGAAATCCAGTTTGTATGTCAGAACTTGTGGGAAATTTAGTTGATGTGATTGGAAAGCTTAATGTAGTAATTTAAAGTAATGTCATAGTAACATTACTACTTAATTTTTTTAAACCAAAATTGTGTGTTGTGTGGGGTAATTTCCCTCCCTCTCCCCCCAATCCCCAAGAATTCCTCTGGAGTCTGGTAGCCATTGTTGGGTGTCCCCCCCCCCCCCCCCCCAAAAAAAAAAAAAAACACATTCCTTTGTGTTAACAGCAATGATGATGGCAGTTCTGGTCACCTCCTGTGGTTTGATAGATTATTCCCTTTAGAAACGTGTACTTAAAACTTTCCAACCCTGATTTTTGTTCCTGCAATAAATTTTATGATGC